TCCATGAGTTAGTAAGCATTTGTCCAATACTTCCTTTTCTCCTCAGTAATATGGTTTCAACGGCTGTTTTGGGGTTTTTTCCTACCTATTTTCTCTGCATCCACACTTCCACTTCAACAGGAAAAGGAAGCAGGTGGTAATTAGTGTCAGGATCAGTGGGCAGCACTGCCAAGCTGTGGGCAGAGCCATCCCATGGGCAAGGAGTGAGATGCATGGAAGACAAGGTGATAGGGTCCCGGGAGCAGCCAGGGCGGAGGGCACTTCACAAGCTCACTTTGTTTCTTCACCCTGTCTGGCTGACTTTTGGCCTGTCTGTCTCTTTGTGTCCATGTCTGTAGTTCTGGGTTATTCCCCAGGACTCTTCCTCCTGTTTCTGGTTGGGCTCTTTCCCCTCCCCTTTCTCTCTTTCAGCTGCCCTCTCCTTCTCTTCACCCTCCCTTCTTGTTCTCTCCCTCTCCTTTCTCTTCCTTTGTTTCATCCTCCCGTTCTCTTCCCCTCTCCCTCCACCATTCTTCTTCCACTCTTTCTCCACTTACCTTGTCTCTCCAGATCCCAAGCTTTCCTCTCCTGCCTGGCATTGCTTTGCTTTTTTGTCTTGATATACCGTGCCCCCCCGCCCAACTCTACTGCCACTTATTTTTCTTGCCATCTCCTCCACCCTGCTCTCTCAGTCTTCCTCCTCTCCACTTCTTTATGGCCTCTGTTTCTGGATATCTGTCACTCTGTCTCCCTCTCTCTCTCCTGTGTGATGGATTTCTGTCTGGTCATCAAACCTCTATTTATGATCCATTTCTCATCATAGCCCTTTTCCTGCGCTTTATATTTCAGTGTTAGAATCACTTCACATATTACTTCATTCTGAACATGCTAGTGTATGCTTAATAATTAAAGCTGTAATTAAAGTGTAAGAGCAAGTATAATTAAAATGCATTTTAGTGTATCCTGGAATGATGAAGCAATTAGGCATTTTGACACACCACTGAAGGAGCAGCTGGAGGGAAAAGAATGTGTTTTTCTAGGGAGCTGCTTGCTCCTCCCTCTTCCCATGACCTGGCCCACTGGCCCTACCTGGAGTGAGGCCTCTCAGCCCTGAGACACAAGCAGCTGCAGGGCAGGACGAGTGGCAGCAGCTGGAGTCCTCACTCGGGCACCAGAGTATAGTGAGCTGCTCCAGGGCCCTCTAGAGACAGGCCAGGACCCAAGACCCTGGAAATCCCTTCCAAACAGTTGATTCTCATGTCATCTCAGGCATTTCCAGTTTCTGCATCAACCCTATTAGGAAAGGTTTTGAGGGGGCAGTGTTGAGCCAGTAAGGGGATCAGAGGATACATACCCACATCACTTCTTGGGCACACTTCGTATGTGAACCTGTGGTAGTTAGTCTGTCAGCACATACAGAGAATGCAGTGGGTGTGGCAAGACATCCCACTGTGCAGGTCTCCCAAAGTGAAGCATTTCAGTGGGGAAGAGAGATGTGGCACTAAGCCATACAGTACAGCATAATCTGTGATCTGGATCTGGAAATGCAGGGTGCTCTGGAAGCTTATGTAACAAGCCTCTGCTTTAGTTGGGCATTTGGAAGGTGGTACAAAGGAAGGGATGTAATACCCAAGTGCTAGTGCATGAATGGGTGTCAGCCCCCAGCGAGAGCAGCAGCAAGGGTTGGGGTCCCCACAAGGCCCAGCTCATCTAGATGGTCATGGATTTCCAAATCAGTCCTGCCCCACCCCCTTGGGAATACTGATGTTAACTCACATGCTGAAAAGACTATTATTTGATCATATTCACGCCCTCATTACTCACCCTTACACCCCCTCTTCCAAAAATGTGAAGGGGGATCAAAGTATGTTATGTGCATGTACAAAGCTGCCAGAATGAAACCTATTAATTTGTATAACCAATATGCAATGATAAGAAATGTGGGGAGAAAAGTAATGCAGAGCTTGTTCACCCATGCACATGGAAGAGAAGTGGGGCAGAGATGACTGAACCATTCTCAGAGTGGGCAGGAACCAAGATAAAACTAACCCCAGGAAGAGCAGGAGGTGAAATGGGGCCAATCCCAGGAACACCACTCCAGCTGTTGAGATTGGAGGGTGTTCCAAAGAGAAAGGGAGCAGGGAGAAGAGCCTCTGGTATCGTAACTTTTATTGCTGCTCCTGTCTCTGTTGAGGAAGTAGAAATTTACACATTTAACTTTCATTCACTTCTGCTGCAAAGAGCGGTGCACTTCTGTGTCAGTCAGGGGCTCTGGCTTCACACTCTGTCATTGCTCCATGAGAGCCAGCCTACATACAGATTAATGTCTAAATTCCTTAGCCTCCTATCTAACACCTGCCACCATCTAGTCCCCTGTCCTGCTTTTCTGCCTCTGGGACCTTGACTAAAACCTTATCAAATGAATCAAAATGCACGCTGAGGTTGTATTAATGAAATAATAAGCCTTTACATCTATCTTAGTTATTGATCCATGGTAATAAATTATACCAAAATTCAGGGACTGGGATGTACCTCAGTGATAGAGCACTTGCCTAGAGTGTACACAGCCCTGGGTTCTAGCCCCAACACCACAAAAAGGTACAAAAAAGATCCCCCCCGAAAAAAACCCCCACAAAAATTCCACAGCATTACAAAAGGAATACTTATCCCACAGTGTCTGTAGCTGGGAATCAAGTGTGGTATAGCTGAGTCCTCCCACTCAGGGTCTATCACAAGGCTGCGTCCAGGTGTCAGCAGGGTGGAGAACATCTCAGCCTGGCCAAGGAAGAGCTCACTCCAGGTGCCCACACATGGGTGCTGGCAGTGTGCAGTTCCTCAGAGTTACTAGACTGATGGCCTCACTTCTCCTTGGTTCTTGGCCAGAGGCTGTCCTCAGGTCCTTGCCAGTGGCCTTCTCCAGAGGGCAACTCACAGCATGGCTGTTGGCTTTAGCTGAATGAACAAATGAAGAAGCAAAGGGAGCAAGACAGAGCCACAGGCTTTTGTAACGTGGTCTCAGAAGTGACATTCCATCACTTGTTCCATACTCCCACTCCTTAGAAGCCAGGCACTGGGTCCTGGTCACACTCAGGAGGTAAAATTATATATACAAGGGCAGGAAGCAGGATCACTCAGTTGATCAATTCAGACCCATTTATTTTAGATGCTGCCTACCACCTTTAACATGATCATGTTAATGTAATCCAGAGAAGTGCAGAAATGTCAGGCAGGGGATTTTGCCATTGACATAAATGCTTTCATGGATATCCTTTCATTTGCTAATCATCACAACTTAATGTCTTCACTTTACAAATAAGAAAGTGGACTAGCACACCCTTCAGGGAGAACAGTTCAAGTCCCCACCTCTGCCACTTACCACCTTTGTGACCACAAGAGAGTGATTTCACTTCTCTGGGCCTCATTTGCCTCATTTATATAACAGAGGCTATAGGACCTGCTCATTGTTTTTGTAGATATTCATATGCCACATGGACACTATATGGCATTATGCCTGGCATGTATAAGCACTTAAGGGTGTGAGTTCTGAGGAAGATGATGAGTGCATGTATGGAAGTAAAAAGTTTAGGCTCAAAGAAGTTAAATGATATATCCAAAACTATGAAAAAAAATACACTGCAGAGGGTGAAGATTTTAGGTAGCAGCATTCCCACTCTCTTGTTTCTTCCAGAGGGGCCTTTTGTCAGGTGCCTGTGTAAACTAGCCAAAAGGAAGCCACAGCCCAAAACACGGTGCCAAGTGCCTCCTTCACAGCTGCTCAGTGGACCTATGATCCCAGGAGAGCCCATGCTTCCTCACCTTTTAAGCCCATCCACCACTGCCTCACTGGCCTTTGCTTCCTTTACACTCTGTGGTAAAATAGCTTCTCCAATGTCTGTATTTCAACATCTTTGTTTATAACTAAGCACTGACTTCCTAACTGGATAAATGCATAGGAAATTGTCTTAGCTGAGACAGTTTTGTCTTATTGGTCCTAAAGGGTTGTTTGCCCTGAAAGAACACAGAAGAAATGTACCAATTAGAAAGGCAGTCCCTGAGGAACACCTCTGGGTGAGGTGGCCTGGCCAGCAAATATAGCACATCTACCAGGAGCAGCCAGGAGCTATCAACAGACTCTGCTGGATTGGTGAGCACAGAGCAGATTCTCAGAATTTTGCAACAGGTCAAGTCATGGCTTGGACCCCTGCCTTCCAGAGGTCTTTAAAATAGGTGACTTCTGGAATGGGCTACAGACACATTAAGCCCACTTGACTGGATTATTAGCAGATATCTTGGCTTCTATCAGTTAAAAAAAAAAAGTTCATTTCCCTCATACAAGTCCCTTATTTCATCTTTTCTAGTTGGGCCACAACTTGAACAGATGTTGTCATGTAATCTTCCCTGTTAATAGCATTGATTAGAATTTGTTTAACTCATCTCCTTGCAAAAACCTCTAGGTAGGGGCCGAGGATTTAGCTCAGTGGCCCCATGCCTGCCTCACGAGCACAAGGTCCTGAGTTCGATCCCCTGTACAAAAGAAAAAAAAATTATAGGTAGATTAGCCACACGTTCTCAGGTATTGTCCCATTATTCCACATTGTGCCCATGCCCACACTCAAATGGATGTGTCATTCTCATTTTTCCCAAAACACTTTTTCTTTCCATACTCAGAACTCTGAGATAAGGCCAGTTCAGAAGACTTCCCTCATTCACACTCACTGAAGAAGTGACTATTAATCTTTCTTTGTATATTCTGTAATCTTAAAAGAACCTCATCTTCATTTTTTAAATGCCAAAAAAATACAGGCAATGTCTTTATAACACTAGATAATTAAAGTGAAAAAAAGAAAAAAAATAAATTTGTCATCAAAGTATATGTAAATGGCGGGGTCTGGATCATAAACAGCTGAAATTGTGTTGACGTCAGGTAAGTCCCAGATAGCCAGTCATTTCAGGTCCTAGAAAACTTGACAGAGCACCACCTGCAGTTTCATCCAGTGACTGTCCATCATTCCCCCTTCCAGGAACCAATGTCCAAGAGGCACAGAACATACTCAAAAACAGTGGACTCCCCATTACCGCGGCTGTAGACCTGGAGGATGCGGCCAAGAAGGCTGTCGCCAGTGTGGCAAAGAAGTGATGTCTTTTGCCTGGTCCGGGGGCTGTTTTCCCAATGGCTCCCTCACTGTGGAAAAAAAAAAAAATGGTTCTCTCACTGGGAAAAAACAGGGGAGTGCATAAACAAGAACCACTGTGTGAAAATCTTAGATCTATATCTTCTCAGATAAGTTATCTAGACAGCCTAGTCTAATTTTACTTATATAGTCATGATAAAAATAATGTCCTCTATTTGCAAGCTTTTACCAACTTTAGGAAGCAGTCTCTGGCCAAATAATATGCATATATACAGAAATTTAATTAAGGCAAGCCTTGCTTGGTTCATTGAGAAGAATGTTGGTGAATATTTAATCCTCTATGGTAGAAAAAAACATGAGCCATAAAAACCTCAAATAGGATTCCATTTAACATATTAACTATCAAAGGGGCAAAGCTAAGACACCAAGCAAATAATTATTACACATTGTAGCAATTTCTATAAGTTTCTAATTCCAACACATCTTTAGAAAAATTTATAGATATTCTAAAATATATTTTACAGTGGAAGTTCTACATTAATATACTATACTCATATTTTACCATTTGCCTTAATATCAAATATTGTTTACCTCATACTAAAAGAACAGCCAGGAGCCTTATTTGTGATTTTGTAGTAGAAGGTTTCATTTTAAGTACTGATGAACGCTGATTCTTATGGACATCTCTGTAATTAAGTCATTTCAAAATGAGACAACTCTGAGAAGACTGAATTGTGTTGAGAGTATCATCTCTCCTTATTGACCTTCACCTCCAGGATCTATCACCTTGTGGTAGAAAAATGAGAAAATGTAGTTTTGATGGGAATGTGGCTTTTTTCCATAATGTCCATTTTGTGGTGGAAAATTTTTAATTAGGTTTCTGTTTAAATTTTGGTAAAATTTTTATCTTTATGCAAATTTAAATAAAATCCTATGTTTTATAAGCATTAAGATTTTTGTGTATTTCTCATTGTAGTCAGTTTTATTCCTCAGACCATTTTCTTAAAATACTAGACTTAGTGCCTTAGCCATAGCTCTAAAATTAGAAAATCTCAATTGTCCCAGGATTTTCCCGCTTCCATTTGCCTTTATCAGATAAGCATTTCTGTGGTAGACGATGATTCAGTGAAACAGTGAAAATTGTATGTAAAACAGATGCCCGGGAAAGTATGTCAGAGGTCTGGCCAGTGAAAGTGTGCTGTCTGCACCATCCTAAGGCAACACACCGGTCCTCATTCTCTCCACTTAGAGGCTTATTTGCCACCATTAACAATTTCCTTCCAATGCCCAAATGTATAGCTAACCATGCTATTTTGTTTGCCTTTTACCATCTTACATTGTTCTTATAAGTTTTATGTATGGAAAATTTTAAAAAGTCATCATTTTATAAATCTGTATTTCCATGGAGAAATAAACCATTGGGTAGATCAGTCTAATACCCTTTTTTAAAGACTATGCAATGAATGAAATTAATAATGTCTTGTAAAGTGTGGTTTGCTTTCTAATAGCTTAATAACTAGTTAGTATGGTGAAAAGAAATAAACATGCCTTTAGTCAATTTTCTAACAATCAACATATTTGAGTTTTTGCTCTTTGCAAATGGCCTGTGTTTGAATACCTTGTAAATATTGATGTTTCTAATCAACCAGGTTGGAGGAAGGGACAAAGGAATTAAGTCATTCATATAATTATTCTGTTAAAGTGTTAATAACAGGCAAATAGCTTTTATTTTCAAAAAAGTAATTTGTCAAAATTATGTTTTAAAATTTTTTTCGTAGAAGCTCCAACTTTGTCTATTTATGTTGCTCAGATGGTATCCCTGATACACAGTACATGTTCTATAGGGATTTGTAGAGTGTGTTACTGGGTCATGTGTACATGTGCACATGGACCCTGCTATATAGATGACAGAGTAGAATCAGGTGCAAATTATGTTGGGGGCATGTCTTAATCACTCTCTTGTTGCTGGGACAAAATATTCAGTGTTCACACCTTAAAGGAGGAGAGGTTTATTTGGGCTCATGGTCCCCTTTGCTGGCTCCAAGGTAAAACAGCATGATGGAAGAACCTGGTCAGAGGAAAGCTGCTGATGGCCTGGTAGCGAAGAAGGAGAGTACTTTTCTAGGTCATGCCCCAGTGACCTGCCTCTTCCAGCCAGGCCCACCTCCTTGTAGCACACTCACCCATAAACTCAGTGGTATAATAATCCATTGATGAGTACAGTGCCTCCATGATCCAATCACCTTTCAAATGCCCTGCTTCTGAGTGCATGAGATTTTTGGAGGATGTTCCAAGTTCAAACCATAATAGGGTAGCTGTTATCTGTGCGTTACCCTGCTTCGTTGTGCTCTTATTTCAGACCCAGCATCTGCTTCAAGTGTACAAGTTTCATACCTGCATTATATAAAAATATGAGTCCTTTAAATCTGGTCACTATTTTTTGAGCTTGGCCCTTCCTAAGGTAAGAATGTCCATGAAAAGAGGTTGTCACCAACTTACCACTACCAACACAAACTGCACACAGTTCTACTCTGTCCCATTAATGTAACACAGTACACACACAGTAACTCATTGGGTAAATACCTATACATTGTATACTGTGCAATCTAAGCATGAAACTCAGTGTCCAAGTAGCTTGTGGAAGAGTGCCCATTCTACCTGAATTGCTTTGTATGCAGAGTTTTAATTCACTTGCTAGTCTACCACAGACTGCCACAATCTCAACAAAACAAGTATCAGACTTAGAGATTTAGTCCTGACCCTAGCACTTACCAATGCTTATTTCTTTGAGTTATTAACTGTAGTATTTGTCTTCACTTTTGGCTGTGACAAAAACTCAACTTACACTTTGGAAAAGGGGGAGATCTATTTTACACTTGAAATTATAAAAGAGGTTTGTGGTTATAGGTAAGGCTGGATTCAGAGATTCGAAGCCATTAGAATCTGGTCTCTGTACCTCTCAGCCCAACTCATCACTGTGGGTTTCATTCTCCAGCTAGACCCTTCTGCAAGGAGGTAGAGGGGGTATGGGCCATCCCAGGTACACATCCGCAAGTTTAGCATCCACAGAAGAGGGAAGAGCAGAGAGAGAAGGAAAGATTAAATGAAAGAGAAAGTGAGGATGGGAAGGAAGCTTCTCTCTCAATAATTCTAAGAAACGTACTAGAATTCCATATTGATGGCTCTAAAGGCCAGTTCCTGGACCATTTCTGAACAGGAAGCTGCAGTGTTCTGCCAGGTCCAACCTGGGTTAACCCCCACTTTGTTGCCTGGATGGGAGCCCACCTTAACTACTGAGACTGAGAGCAAGGAAGAGGTAGGACTACCTGAGGAAAACTATAGCCCAAACATGAATAAATGGCCATGTACTGTGAAGAAAAAATGAGAGGTGTCAACCACAATCATCAACTAAAGTTGCTTGCCACTCTAAAATCTAATGATTCTCTTCTGCTGAGTTCTCATTAGTTCTTTGGGGTCCATTTTTCCCTCATGTCTGAGGGTGCAGATGCTCCTCAAGTTATCTAAGTATGTCTTGAACCTTAATGTCCATGTAAGAAATAATGACATGGAGGCACCTAGTTTTTTTACGGTTTTCCTCTTATGTTGCAGTTCAATTCTTGAATTAGTAAAATATCCAGGAAACTTTTTAAATGACCTAATTAGATCTGTGAATAACTTTTAATTAGTTATTTTACAATTTGTATCTATGTCAATTTCTCAGTTTGCTCTCTGAGAAAAAAAGGTTAACAAAAATAAGAAAAAATGTGTTTGGCATTTCTAAAGGAAACATTTAAAACCATAATGTGATATTTTGTGAGATAGAATATGTATCCAAAAAGTAAAATAAGTTAAAAAACATAAAATAGTGGCAAAAAAACAATAGGGAAGCATATGTCTATATACACTTCCAGATATGAAGGTGGCAAACAAGGCATGATGGTCCGTTTTTAGTAAATCAGATTTAACTGGAATACAGTGACACCATTTACAGAAATCATGTCTGTGACCAAGATCATGCTAGTGTAGCAGAGTCAAGTATTCAGATTAGAAACCATATGACTCTGAAATTTTGTCCTTTTGGCCCACCCGTGCTCTAGATAAATTTTTATTTTTATTTTATTTTATTTTATTTTATTTTATGTACCGGGGATTGAACTTGGGTCCTTCCACTTGCGAGGCAGGTGGTGGAACCACAGAGCTAAATCCCCGGCCCCTAGATAAATTTTTTAAAATATGCCATTGCCCCAAAATGACAGCAACAGATCATTTCCAGCAAAGGCAGATGTAGGTATTAAAGTGAAAGAGAAATGGGGAAAAAAAGGTAGGAAATATGACTTGATCTTTTACTTTTTTTGTGACTTCATTTTAAATTTTATTCAAAATGTTTAACTGCAGCATCATATGTACATGAAAAAGACAAACATCTTAACATACAACTTGTTGAATTTTTTTTTTTTTTTGGTACTGGGGTTCGGACTCCGGTCCTTGTGTTTGTGAAACAGGCGGCGGAACCACTGACCTAAATCCCCAGCCCAACAACTTGTTGAATTTTTACAGAGTGAACATATCTGTATACTAGCACGCTGAACCCCTCCTGGTGTTCCATTCTAGTTACCTACCCCAAGGGTAGGGTAACTGTCATTTTGACTTCTGTCATCCTTGATTACAGTGGAATCAGAGGTAGTCTTCATTTGTTACTGGCTTTTGTCATTTGGTATTTTTCCCCCCATTAAGTTTATTGGTACATTTTAGGTATAAAATACAGTTACATTCATCATTGGGATCTTGCACCTTTACATGATTATC